CTTTCTGTAAAATACATCCATTATGTGTTGATACCATGGAGACATTTTTCATTTTGTCACATATTTCTCGAATCTTCTAGAATCGTGGGTCTATAAATCTTGCCTTCAAATCCTTCTAAACTTTCCAAGCTGTAATGTGTAAAATCCTAAAGAAAAATTATCCTTACCAATTCTGTAACAACAAAGAGGTCAGAAATATTTTGGAAATAAAAAAGGAGGGAAAAAGTATAAAATTAATGTGGGAATCGTGCCTCAACGAAGCACCAGATGTCGCTATCTATCTCTACTCTGTAGGAACTCTCCAGGTAAACACACCTTCACTTGGTTCGAGAAGTCCGACAGAAGCGGTCTAACAGAACGCTTGCAAAGGAGCTACAACTAGATGCTTACTGGTCGCACGTAGGCGATCGGACTTGGAACTTATCTAAAGTGACGGTGCGTAGGTGATCGGACTTGGAAATTATCTAAAGTGACGGCACGTAGGCAAAGTGATTGCACATAGGTGGTCAGCTGTGACTTTTACATCTCCATACTGGAACCAGTGTTGTGAATTACTCTCCTAAACATATTTAATCCATTTGTACATACTCATTCCGTTTATCTTTTCTTCTATGAACCAGGAATAAAATACCTGATACTTTGAATCGTGAGTGTGATCTCTGTTTGATGATAAGACGTCCCCCTCACATTAATTTTATAGAGAAAACTCATGCATATTTTGAGAATTTTGAATACTCTGACTGAGACAATTACATGGGAAAAACTCTTACTTTGAAAAATATTAAAAAGAAGACATTTTTAATTAATTACATATCGAATTTTGCTTTTGCTAAGAGCTGTTTCATAAATTGTGCTTTATAGCATTATACCTTGTTTATTTTTCAGATTTAAAATATTGTATAAATTGCCAAAATGAAACTTTATAATATGATAGCGAAAAATAAAAACGTTTTATTTTAATGTTATTTTCTAAATATTATTTCAATATATTACCATTATTTTAATAAAAATTATCAATGTTACGATGTTTTAAAAAAATCGTCGAAAAATTCTCGTATTCTGGAATTAAAATGTTTCTACGAAAACTAATCTTAAAATCGCCAAAATGTTGAAAAGTCGCCAAATTTAGAACCGCTTAATAAAAGAATTCACATCCCCAAAAGCGAAAAGTTGTTTAAGAGCTTTTTACTAGAAAAAATGAATTTCGAAATGCTTATGTTTCAGTTCTTAGAAACTCGAGTATCCTATCATTCATATTAGAAAAAGTAAAAACAAATTAGAACTCATGAACCCATTCAAAAGACAACCATATATATAGCAGTGAATCGCCAAAAATATTCCTCAAAATGCTAATTCACACTCAAAATGACAGTCGTAAAAACAGACAGAAATTTCAGATGATTAAAATTAAGGACTTTCTGCTGATTTTGGCCAAAATTAAGGACTTTTAAGGACCAAAAATCGATTCCAAAAAATCTAAGGACTCTTAAGGACCGTACGAACCCTGTTCTTGAGTGATGCAGATATTTCAAATGTCATAAGTCCAGAAGAGTCAGAGAGTGATACTGAAAACAAGTGAAAAAGGTATTAACAGTTACGTTTGTCCTGAGACGGCAATGACTTCTGTTGAAACTCTGTTAGATTTTGTCAACTGAAGGACATTTGAATACGTTAAAATAGCATTTAAAATATATGTAGCCCTTCACTACACACATCCACCTTGAATTATTGCATCATTTGTACACTGCGATACAGATAGTGAACTTACGATTCTGGTTCAGATCCGTTCTTTCTTGCTACAGTTTATAAAACAGCAATTGTAACTTCTCAAAGGTGCTCGAGGTGAATGAACTGGTTATTTTCTGCGAGTTGCCCTGTAAAAGCCATTCAGCCATAACTGATGCATTTGCGAATAAATACCACCACGATTCCTTATTGCTATGCTGGGAACAGTAGCGAACTTAACATTATACTTAGTAGTTCAATTATACTCATTTACAGATTTATTAATGAAATTGGGTTGCATTTTTTTCTGTGTAAATATGTTTTAATTAATTAGAAAATGAGAGCCATAATTTGAAGAAACATTCACTACAGAATTGTTCCAATGGCACATAGTGAGGTGAAAGTGCAGAAATGCCCACTGCTTGGCACGTTTTTAAGAATTGCACATACTCGGTATCCATGCACATGTGGACCTATTTTCACTTAATAAAACATCCCAGAATTGCACAAAAATGGCATTGTGCACACTCGACTTCATCCATGCACACATCGATCTATTGTCACTTAAAAGTCAAAGAAAATTGACAAAAATCCAATTCTTCTTACTCTAGTAAAAAGTGCCAAACAAATAAGTGGGTGACTCTGCACTTTAGCCCATAGTGATCCATCACAATGGTAAGCATATGTACCTTTTTGTTTGTCTTTAGAAGTGATCAGGGAAGGAAGTTTTGGATTCAATGCTTTTGGACATATGTTTATTATTGCATACTTTTATGTTTTTATATAAAATTATGTTTGAATAGCACCCATAACTTATGTTTTGATCTTTATGCATGTTTCTTCATGAAATCATAAAACAATTATCAAAAATAGATTTCTTAACTGAAGCAGGTTAGTAACAACTGACAATATTATTGACAACACCAAGCAGATTTCCCTTTCAGATTTTTCCATCCTGAGAAAATATACAAAATTTGGAACTATTCTTATACACACCCTTGGTTAGTTCATTGCGCACAAATGAACAAAATAAACTAAAATAACAAACAATTCAAAAAAACAACAGCAGAAATTCATAGCAAAACCAGCATGAACATAACATTCTACAAAATAAGAACAATAAAATAAAATGCACTTACCATTGTGAATGCTTCTTCAAGCACCAGGAATATCAATTTCAAACACCAGCCAAAACTTATCAATTTCCGCCACTTTATTCTTCCACCCTTATCTTCAGAAGCACATAGCATACTAAATCCAGCATACATTTATGAATAATATTCGCATAAACACACCTGTGAACAACTCCAGCATCGTAATTTTATCTTGCATTCAATCCAAAATGCGCGACTGAAATTTTGCCATGTCTTTCATTACAACATAAGGCATTTCAAAACATGCACCAAACCAATTACTCCCAAAAAAAAAAAAAAAAGCTTCAACGTCAAAAGGGTTGCCATACAAACAACATTGTGCCAAAAAACCATCGCAAGACACATAATCGTGCCAACATATACCCTGACTTTTAGCTAATTATATCTGTGGATTTTAAGACTGATTGGATATTGAATTTTAAATTCTGCCCTATAAAAAATAACAGGGGAAAAAAGGCCAATTTTCTGTACACCTATATCAGAGTAAACCATCTTTCATTTATAAATAATTCCTTCAAGCCAATATGAACAAAAAATTTATATACATTTTCACTTTTATATTTCCAACTGGGAACACTGCCCCGTAAAAGGTTAATATATTTGCTATATCACTACTAAATGATATCAACTATATACATTAACTTACAATTAAAAGGCAAAATTTCAATCATAAATACTGTTAAAAATACATTTATCTACCTAAGAATAAAGATTCCAGCATTTCATGACATTTTGAAATTGAGCGTTCTTTCTAAAAGATAATGGGGAAAGTACAGAATAGCCCACTGCTTGAAGCGTTTTTAAGAATTGCACATCCTCGGTATCCATGCACACATCGACCTATTTTTACTTAAAAAGTCAAAGAAAATTGACAAAAATCCAAGTCTTCTTACTCTTGTAAAAAGTGCCAAACAAAGAAGCGGGCGATTCTGCACTTTAGCCAACTTCACTTTCAATTTTGTAAAAGATAAATTCATAATCTACAAAAAAATCATAATTTGGTTAGAAATTCAATTATCTAACATGACACATCTCCTATTTTTCTTGGACTACTTCAGCTTATGTTTTCATTACTATTTTTTGCTATTAAAGAAACAAAATTTTTAATGTGACGAAAATGCTATTAATCGCTTTCAAGGAAACAAACACATCCCAGTCACTTTTTCATCAGGATCTCAAGACCTTGTATTATTAGATTATGTAATCTTCTTGTATGTAACTTTATTTCCACCTCAATGTGCCAAATGTATCAAAAGGCATATATCCATGTTTCTTTAAATATAACTTAAAATTTTCGTAACTTTTTTTTTCCTCTGCTGCCTTCAACAGGTATAATATGTAACATTTTCTTAAATTATTTTAACACTTAAAACCAACTTACCAACTTAATAGTTTTGATTCAGAAAACCACACCAAGGAAATATACAGAATTACAAGTTCTCATTTTTTTCTTAAAAGTTTAAAAAAAAAAGCAATAGATGCAAAATATCAGTACCTAACTACAAACATCCAAATAAACCAAAATAAAAATTTCACATACAAATTGAGCTTTATGGAAAACATCAGCTCCTGTAAGTAGCTAAGCATTTTATGATTATTACACCTTTTTCTGAAAATTTCTGACATATATGCTGTCAACACATTATTTAGTTAAGCACTTTTCTGTAAACCAAATGTTAATTATCAAACTTAACCGAATCAATCAATTATTGATGAAATGATCAACTTCCTTCCTCATGCTAATCCTACTCTATCAATTCAACCTGCAACTTACTTCAGTGAATATCTTCTCTTTATATGTATAATAATATTGCCAACCACTTATCTTCAATGTAATTTCAATGCTAATGGTACCCTCAATTATATTGCTAATTAAATTCTTTATTCATCATATTAATAAGTATCACCGATTTTTTAATCACATCCTCAATGTGTTGTACTAAAACAATATTGTATTATTATTGGCATTCTCTACAAATATATTATTTGCAACCAGTAACATCACTCTGAGCCTGTACTTTCATATTTCAAAATCAATGCTTACTAATTTTAAACCCTAAAAAACTACATGACATATTCACTGCACATCATCATTACAATCGAAAGCAAAATTACGCGATATAATGTATTCACACTTTTTATTACAAAAATGCAAAGTGTTACAGTAACTTAAAATATACAAAATGGATATACATAATGAAATGCCATAATAAATCAAGACGATCAATTACTATTACAGAAAACAAGTGACATTAAATGAAATTGGAAAAAAGTCTCTGAACAGTCCTTACTTAGTTTCTGAACTCTGATCTTTGGTTGGCGTTTTGGTAATATCAACGGTCTGCTGCTCTTTGTTTTGAATTTCAACAGGAACAGTTCGCTCGACCAAGCTTTCCTTAGTCTTCAACGGGGCTTCTACAGTCAACTGTCCACTAGCACTCAAACGAGAAGTAACGGCACTCGGTTCCACACCACTTGGAAGGTCGAAACAGCGATACATTTCGTGATACTCATACACATCATTTCCTTTAGATTCGTGCTTAGCCGATATCGCAATTTTGTCATTCACTATTTTCACACTTATTTCATCTGGCTGGTAATTCGAGGTATCCACACTAACTTGAAACTTATTGTCCTTGGTTGATACCATAACTTTCGATTTCGGTTCGTATTCGGACAACGCTCCAGATCTCACTTTCCTTTTCTTACTTTGCGGTTGATGTTCGTAGTCATCTTCAAGTTCCAGCAAAATCGCAGGCAACTGGCGAAATACTTGGCCAACTTTACGATCCATACGATCTTCCAATGAATCCAATAACTGATTTAATAACGGCCTGGTTCGACGCGGTCTGTTTTGTTATTCCATCCCAAAATCGGAAAATCATCAAACAATGTAGCAAGTGCCATAGTTCTGAAGCTTCAGGAATACACGGATTTCTCTAAGTAAATATTAAACGTGTACAGTTCACACACTTTCAGAGCGCAGTTATACCTGAAATTTCGCGGATACACTGGATCAATGTCTCTGTTGCGCTATTCTTTGCTGCCTCTTATATTCTCGCAACCCAGTGTCGAAAGGACTAGAACGTTCGCGGTAAACCGTTGCTATGAGACGGATGAAAAATCCAGAAAATTCTAGTCGAGAGCATGCGTGAGACTACTTCGATAGATGCTTTCACAAGTGCTTACTATTTGAATATCTATTAACGACGGTTACCAATTTTATGAGAAATTAATTCTGTTAATGTTAAATTTAAAAGAAACAAGTTAAATTTTAAACAAGAACTGACTCACATTTCTTAACTTATGAATAATATTTTGGTACGTTCAAAATTTGCATATAAGTCATCCATAGAACACAGACATTCGTATTTTATTTAAATAGGAAGTTGATGTAAATTAAAAATAATAAAAAATAAATTACATATATTTTGCAATTAATAATCCGTAAATTATTATATTGAGTTTGTAAAATACATTCAAACACATTTTGTATTTTTTTGCAGTCTTCTTTTGCATTGAACTGACAGCTGAAATGAAGGTTGAAAGGTTGACAGTTGAAATATTTTAGTCCGTCAAGATGTAGTTTTCTGAACTCTTAATTCTAGTTTTATATTTTGTTACTAAACTATATACGAGTAAATCCACCATGTTTTACTGTATTTACAGTTTTCATTCATAAGATTTCTGTGAAATATCCACTTGATTGTGTTCTTATTTTTTAAACAACACATGATCTTGCAGATTCTTGAAAAGATTTTCAGGCTCTTTAATCATACATTTTCTCTTTTCAAAAAGTATTTTAACTGTATGCTTAAATTTTAATCTGAAGATATTGTTTAAAGTATTCATACCAATTCTGAACAAATGTTGTTTTAAAAGTTATCTGAGATAATACATTTAGTGTATAAATGCTCATTTTCTCCACTGAAAGTCATGTTTTTATAAAATTATATTTTGACAGGAATAGTTTTAATATATTTTTACCTGATTGATGATTTTTGGTAAGATGTATATTAGTAATATTATATGAATCTATTGTTAATTGAAAATATGTATATGAGATCTATTGTTAATTGAAAATATCTTATGACATCTTGCAGATCACACCTTTTTTATTATTTACATTTATATTTATTAAAGTTTCAGTATACCACAGAAGCACTAAAGGATGAATTCCTAACAGACTTACATTGGCTCACAAGAATGATTGGCACTTTGATTTTTTGTAATCTTTAATGAACACAAAAACTAAATTAAAACAAAAAGAAAGGCTTTTATTTTAATTTTGCCTTTACACTTGTTCACTTCATTTAATCTTTTGGAGCATTGACTCTGCAAGTTTTTTTTTGGTTGTTGTTTTGTTATTTCTGGAATTACATTATGCCACTCCTCTTGAATCACTGCTTTCAGTTGCTGTCATAAAGATATGCTCTGTTTTTGAATTCTTGATTCTAGTTCCTGCCAAATATATTCAGCAAGATTAAGATCTGGCGATTGCGGTGGTACCATAATTACTTCTGGACACTTATATAACAAGTAGAGTCTGACACTGTGTGCAGTATGCTTTAGATCATTGTCCTGGTAGAATTTAAAACTATTTTGTATATTAAAATTTTGTGCTGACAATGCCAAATTTCACTTCAAGATGCAAAGTATTTATTACTGATCCATTATACCATCTACAAACTCTATGTTACCAACACTTGAATATGCCATTGATACCAATACCACAACTCCTCCTCCACCATGTACACTTGCTACTAAGCCCACCAGCGGCCGAGCGGTGAAAACGCTGAACACTGGTAGTTCGGTTCGAGGTTCGAATCCCGCGAACGGGCTGGCTGCATGGGCGTTTTCATGGTTTTCCCATGTGTAACGTGTATATGAACCAGTTCCTCTTAGAAAGTCCTCCACGGAGGCATCCCTCCCCTTAGGCAGATAGCCTTCATGTGCTTTGCCATAATTAAATAATCCCAATCCCACAATTGCTACTAAGTTTGCTTCCAAAACTACTCTTTTGGTTTTCTCCATACCAATACTCGTCCATCTGAGCTGAAGATGTTAAATTTGCTTTCATCAGCAAACAGCACCTTTTTTCCAGTAATCGGGTATCCTTTGTTTCATCGATTTTTGTGAAAGCAAGGCAAAGTTTTCTTTTTTTTTTACTGATATAAAATTTTGGTAAAAGTATATTTTAGGGTACCCCCTTGGCGAAACTTGGCGATTTTTGGTGGTGCATGGATACCGAGTTTGTGCAAGTCTTTGACTTATTATTTTTGGCTTGCATAACGGCGATTTTTGCACCAAAAATCGCTACTACACAAAGCCAAAATAACAAGACAAAGAATTGCACAAACTCGGTATCCATGTTCACATCGACCTATTTTCACTTAAAAAAAGAATCCCCAAATTGCATAAAAATGGCATTGCGCAATCCCTTTACTTTATCCATGTACACGTCGACCTATTTTCACTTAAAAAAAATCTCAGAATTGCACAAACTTGCATTGTGCACTTCCTTTACTTTATCGATGTACACATCGATATATTTTCACTTAAAAAGTCAAAAGAGCATCCATTTCTACAATACAGGCAAACGAAAAATACATAATCTCAATAAACTACATTTTAAACCAAACAATAAACTAACATAAAAAAGGAAAAACATGTTATACATTTAAGCACTAAGAAAAAGCAAATATCCACTTACCTTATTTAAAAGTTCCTTCGTCTTTAGTCTGTGGCACACAAAATTCCTTAACAGCATCCAAAAACTTCTTAAATTATCTGAACTTGAATCCATATATCGGCATCGCCACATCTGAACCTTTCTTCCTACAAACCCATTCAAATCCATCTAAATGATTTTTTTGTTCGACTAGACTCATATCCTTCCTACATACAGGATACTTATAATGGATAAGTAAACCTTCATTTACACACCAGTCAATTAATGCTCTTTTCCCTTTCGTTCCAAATCGTACAGAAACTTCAAATTAATCTTACTATATTCAGCCATTCTACCGTCTAAACAATAAAACCAACACACACCACAAAAGCGCTTACAAAACATCCCATGATTCAAAATTTCTCAGAATCATGCACCCGATCATGTCACAATAGGGTTTCCATAACATTCAAGTACTCAGGCTACCATAAATGAAACAACTTGGCTATAAATGAAACAACAACTTCGCCATAATACAAAGGATACCTTAAAGTCTACTCTTACCAAAATTTTTTGTGTGCCGCTTATGACATCTTGCAGATCACATTACTCTTCTTACAGTTTCCATATAATTTACGAAGTTTCGCAACAAGTTTAGGAGCACTCAGTCTTGTATTCTTTTTAATATTCCTTAGAATAAAGTGTTTCATTTCATGAGTTAACTTAGATGGTTTTCAAGGTCTTTTGTTTTGAAAACGATTTTGTATCTTATGGTACCCAAAACTGTAGAATCACTTAAGTTAAATAGGCAATTTTTCTAATAGGTTTCCCTTTCTTTTGATGCAAATTAATAACTAATCTGCGAGTTTCTAACGATGTTCCCTTTCGTGACTGAGCCATTGCAAGAAAACATTACAATAACAAATATCTTCTAAAAAGAAAATTCGAATTATAAAAGCAAACAAGTTTTGGAGTTTTGCAGAGCTTCTTTATCCAAACTAATTCCATAAAATTTTATTCTTTATTTATTGCAAATGATTTTGATTAGAAATTATGAAAATGTCTGATTAATTGTGTAGTATGTTTTTCTTCCACTTCAGTCTAAAATGCTAATTTTTAAATTTACTATTTCATTTTTTCAAATTTATTTAGTACAAAGAGATAGAAAATATGTATTCAAAAGGAAAATATTCTTTATTAGTTTATTGCAAATCAATTCTCCTATTACCCCTTAAAAAAGTAAAAATATTGTTGCGCCCAATCATTTTTGTGAGACACTATAGATACCATACAAGGACCAGACCAATTATTATAACAATGTTATATAATGTAAGAAAAAGCATTACAGATGATTTGTTTGTACATAAATAACCTTTTGTGCATACATTCGTAAATTTTGTTTATATTGTGTAAAACTGACTCTGAAATAAAGAACACTTGACAGCAGGGGCGTAGCTAGAGTTTCCAATGCCCGGGGACAATTGAAGAATTTGCGCCCCTTTCTATGTGCCAAGAATATAAAACGTTTCATTAAAAAATTTCGTAGCATGAATTTGGCGCCCCTTGGATGCTGCGCCTCCTTGCCCCACCCTAGCTACGCCACTGCTTGACAGTAAAGAAGCCTTTCTAGTTTCATAAAGAAAATATGAGAGTTAACAAAACTATCTGAACTATTTTTTTAGCCCCCTCAGCTGTGCTAGTGAAAATCCTTTTATTGTTTGAAAGAAAAGTGTCAATATTTTAAAAATCTAAAATGTACACTGCGCAAAAAAAAAAAAAAAAAAAAAAAAAAAAAAAAAAAAAGGACAGTTATATATCTCCGATTGATGAAATTCAACTTGCATTTTTCATGTCTTGAAAGTGCAACTTAGGATATGTATTAGATCTGTATATAGCATTGTTATAATATAGGTATTTTAACAGAAAATCGGACTTTTTCTAAAATAACATACCAATTTTTTTCCATATATCGATTCCACAACTCAAATTACACCAAACTACCAAGTTTTGTAAAAATCACATGAGTATTTTTTAAAAAATCAGCTCTTAAAATTTTAACTCCTCAGTGTTAATTGAGTTTGGTATATATTTATTAATCTCTCTTCTTTCTATTAAACTTACTTGATTCTTCATTTCACATTTCAAAATTCAGGTTCATTCCATATAAAATTCACTCATTTTTTATGATTCATTTTTAATATTTGTATTTTAAAATAATTTTTATAAATTTTTCAAAAAAAATTTGAATTAAAATCTATAAAATTTTTACCATCATCTTAAAGCAGACGTATTTCTAAGCATACCTGCAAAAAAATTGCAGTTTTTTATTCAAAATTTCCGAAGATATATTTGAATTTATATATTGGCGCATTTTGAAATTTGGCATATTTGTTGAAACCGATAAAACATCAAATGTCGT